ATTCATTATATTTCACTTATATGATGATATTTATGTGTTTGTGCTTATGGATCATCTATTCGTGCCTTATAATGTATTCTATATGTGGTTTGATCAAATCCCACAAAGAAAATTCATTTCATTGATCAAACATCAGTTTTGGATATAAATTTTGATTTATGAATTCTTTTGGTTGATTTGTTTTCATTTGAAAACTTTTTGCATGATTTTCATGTTTCTTTTCATTTGATTTCATAAATCTATTTTTATACATGATTTTTATGTTTATGTTTTGAGACACATTATTTCAATGGCATATTAATATGTGTCATCATTGTATTTTTGTATGTGAGTCTTGTTTAGCATGGTTATGCTTGATCACATGTTTGCCTTGCACTTCATTTTATATCTTCCATATGGCTTCTTGATAGGGGGAGCAATCCCTATATCTTTCTATTTGTTATACTCACCCATGCTTATTGATAGGGGGAGCTTTCGCTCTCTTCATTCTTTTGTTCCCTTTTTGATATTGTCAAAGGGGGAGAAATATTGTGAGTATATTCTTTCTTGTTTATATGCATGATAATTCTAATTTATATACTTATTTCTTTCATGCATATATATATCTCTTTTGTAAATTGTTTGTCATCACCAAAAAGGGGGAGATTGTTGGCCTTCTTGTTTTGATGATGTTTAATAATCAATTTACTTCTAATGTTGTTTGTCTAGTGTTTGTGTTTTCATATTTATTCTAGGCAAACAACGAGTTGGAGGATGGATGGAATAGAGCTTCAATGATCATATCCAATGGAGGTTGGTGGAAGTGTGGAGTGAAGCATCGTACAATTCAAGTTCAAGATCCAAGTTTAGCTTCATCCACAACGTGTACCAAGTTGAGCTACAATGAAGATCAAGATCAAGCTTGGGTTAGTTTAGGAATTTATATTATGTGTGTTAGTACTTTAAGCTCAATCATATACGCACATACACGTTTTGGATTTTGTATATATATAGTTATATATATACATATATGTTTTGGTTTGATAGTTTTCAAGTTTTACTATGAAACAAATGAATAGAATTGGAAAATACTATTTTGTTTTATGTTTATATGCCTACATATGATTTCCTCTTTAATAAGCTTATATTTAATGAAATCATATTTAGTGTTTTGTATATATTGTATAGAATATGCAATTTTGTGAAAATATGGTATTCATTGTTTTTGGACTTAACAATAATCATATACATATTTTATTAAGTCTATATAATCATTGTGCAAAGTTTTAAAACATGGTTTAGCCAAAATATCAAATTTTACATGTTTACATTTTCATGTTTTGAACTATTTTGCAAAATGATAATTTTTCACAAATGGAAAATGCAATTTGGAAAATTCTTTTTGTAACATGTTCATTTACATGTTTATATACTTTTCCCAAAGTTTCATAATTTTTGGACTTCATTTGTTATTTTTTTAACATATTTTCAAAACTCTCAAAAATAGCTTTAAAAACCAGTTTTTGAGTGTATCAGATTTCGGTCGCCCGCCCCGGTCGACCGAACCTGAGTTCATATGCTCACTGGGCGACAGAGAGTCTGTCGGTCGACCAGTCCGGTCCGACCGACTGAAATTTCGCGGTCGCGCGATGAATTTCGGCGTCGACCGAGCGATAGCTTTTTCAGCTTCAACGGCTATTTTCTGAGCGTTTGCTGGGGCTGTTTTGTCTTTTTGCTTGGGGTTTTTGGCTGAGTTGTGAGAGGGTATAAATACCACATTGTCTTCAACTCTCAAGTAATCCAAGAATGTTTTAAAGAGAGTTTTAAAAACAAGTTTAAGGAGTTTTGTTTAAGGGTTTAGTGTTTGTTTAAAAAGCTTTTAAGCATTTACAAGAGTTTGGTTTGTGGAGCAAATTTCACAAGAGCAAGTGGAGATCATCCTTGGTGTTTGAGCATTCATTCTTCTCCCTCTCTCTTGTCATCTATAGAGAAGTTTCCTTAAACTCAATTCTAGCATTTTATAAGTTTGTTCTTAATTTAATAAGCTAGATTTCATATTGAGTTTATATTGTTTTATCTCTTTGTTCACACACAACCTATTGAGCTTATTGTATTTACATTTATAGTATAATTTGGGGTTGTGGGTTTGTGACTAAGAGTTGTGCTTAATTGAGTTCTCACCTTGTTAGAGAGAGAACAATCATTTGTCATATTGTGCCTAATTGTGAGGATTCACTTGTAATACACTTGTACACCGAGAGAAGTGTGTAGTGAGAGACGGGATCGAATCCAAGAGGAGTGGCGTCGGTTGACGTGCCTAGGGAGAGGTTGTAACCGAGCACTTGAGGAGGAGGACACGGGCTAGGACCAACACTTAGTGTGTGAGGTGCGATTACATAGTGATTGTATTATGAGGTGTAAACGTTGTTCGGGTGAACGTAGAAAACCCGGTTGAGATAGTGGAGATCTCCTCGAGGTGAGGAGCGGAGACGTAGGTCGTGGGGACCGAACTCCGTAATCATATTGTTTGTTTGTGATTGCATTGGCGCACTTACTTTTATGTTCATATCTTATATCGCCTTTGTATATTGCTTGTTGATTATGTTGCCCACTATCTAGTTTAGATTGTTTACCCTTGAGTTTATATATCCTTGCACATACATTGCATATATCTCTTTGTTAGGATATATCTTGTTGTTCATATTACTTATCCTAGCTCATATACATTGTTGTATTTCATACTTACTAGGATAACTTCACTAGTAGAATATTGAATATCCTAGACGGATTATTGCGGACGGAAAATTTTCCGTCTAGAATACTTTATTCTAGACGGAAAATTTCCGTCGAGGAAATTCCGTCTAGTATATTATATTCCAGACGGAAATTTCCGTCTGCAATACTATTACAGACGGGAAAATTTTTTATTAATTTTTTTTGAAATTTTCCAATTGTCCTAGACGGAAATTTCCGTCTAGGTTGTATCCTAGACGGAAATTTCCGTCTAGGATAATTGGAAAATTTCAAAAAAAATTAATAAAAAAATTTTCCGTCTGCAATAGTATTGCAGACGGAAATTTCCGTCGAGAAGCTTGAGGTTCATTTTATATACCACAAAACCCGCAGCTCAAGCCCTAAATCCCCAAATCTTGATTTTCACTCGCCTTTCTCTCTCTCGATCGCGATCATCTGGATCCTCGTCGTCGGAGTCCTCAGATCTGGTTCAACCGCCTCGTCGCCGTCGCCGTCGTCGCCGTCGAAGCCGTCGCCTTTCAGATCTGGTTCAACCGCCGTCGTCGCTGTCGAAGCTCAATTCCAAAGCTTGAGGTTTGCTTTCAATCTTTCTCAAACCCTAGTTTTCTCAAGGCCTGCTTTCTTCCGTTATAGTTGTATTTTTGTGACATTATGTGTAACTTTTGCATATACTTGTAATTACAATGTACATAACACCAAGAAGTTCCAAGAGATCAGAAAACCCCCTCATGTACGGGACCCATGAGTATAAACTTCGATTTTGATGTGTTATCTTCTTAAGAACAGGAAGTTCTTAAGAAGGGGGAGGGGCTGCCTTGTTTCTTTTTTTCTGAAATTTTCATTTTGCAGGTTTGCAAATAATGAAAACAAAAATCATTTCCAGGAGGTAGATTTTAGTATTTCTGCTATAGCTGAAGGCCTGAAATGGCTCATTGATGTTTTACATAATAGCTTCTCTCACTAGGTCATGTATACTTGTATACTTGTTGTTTGGTGCGTAGTACCCATCTTTCTAAACACTATGTGCCATCAATAAAAGTATTTTGGAATGGAAGCATGTATCCAAGAAAGAAATAAAATGTTCCGAGTCAAATTCTTGAATCTAAGGTGATTATTACAAAATTATGCAAAAAACATATCGTAACTGTGAACTCCATGCCCCAAACGAATGAAATTGCCACTATGGACGTTCAAAAGCCATCTTTTCTTTCTTTGGTATGAATATTTAAATATTTCTTCAAAAAAAAGTTGGTTGGTGGAGAGGATCCCACTTCGGAGAGCAATGATTTCTCTACTTAGAAACTTATAGACTTAATTAAGAGAATGACATTATTATACAGTTGAATGTTTGTGTTTGATTATTATGAGTCTATAATGATGTTTGTAGCCTTTCCTTCATTATCAACTTCTATTTCTGTTATCTTGTTTTGCTAGTTAAGCCCACAAGGATCTCATGTTTATCAAACAGATTGTGATTTGAATTGTACAAATGTGATTATATAGGTTTGTGATTTGCAAATGTGTGAGTTATGGAAGAAAAAGTTTTCAAAAAATAGAGTGATATATAACGCAATATTATATAATAATGTGTTATATATCCAATTTAGGTAAAAAATATAACGTTAACCCTAGACCCCCGTCCAATAATTACAGCAAATTCTTTGAGGTTATAATATAAGATGAACGAGTTAGGAATATAGTAATTTATCGTTCACTTAATATTATAATAGAGATGAATTGGTATAGAAATTTGTAATTATTGGATCTGTCCTTCTCGGACGGGTTAGGAATATAGTAGTGCATATATCCAACTTTGTATACTTTGTATGATTTCATTTCTTAAAAATTTTGGCAGCTCGTACCTGTTGTTCTCCGTGTACAATAAGCGTATGTTGTTCTGCGTTTTGATATGTTGTCAGTGCGCATAACAACATCCGCACAGTGTACAGGGAGAACAGCGGGTAGGTGCTGCCGAAATTTTTAAGAAATGAAATCATACAGCGGGTAGGTGCTGCCGAAATTTTTAAGAAATGAAATCATACAAAGTATATGAAGTTGGATGTAAGCGCTATTATATTCTTAATGGGATAGAAGCCTTCCTATGACAGCCGTTAGAGTGTTCTAATTAGTCTCCATACCTTAATAAGTTTCATCCACATACCTTAATGCCGATACTTAAATGCAACAATGTATGTTTTGAATAGTTTAAAATTTTTGGGTATACTATCTATTCTCAAATAGAGTTTCTAAATATATATTATCTACAGATGAGGAATATTCCTGACAAGTCATGGATAGATATCCCTAGGAGTGAACGGTTTCGTGTTCAACGTTATGTCGATGGATGTGAAGCCTTCATGAAGTATGCCGAAATGAACCCAAAATATTTAAGTAGCGGTGCAATGTACTGCCCCTGTTATAGGTGTAAGAATATGAAGCTGAAAAATAAAGATGAAATACGAAGTCACTTAGCAAGCTCTGGTTTTTACGAGGAATATAAATACTGGTCCTATCACGGTGAAGGTTGTACTGAAGATGAAGTCCCGGATGTGCATGTCAATACTAGTCATGATGTCAGGATAGATGATACAGAAGTAAATTTACAAACTGATATCGGACCCGACCATACCGAATACGATATTAACAATGACAATGAAGATGATATCATAGTTGATGTCCAAGATGCTCATGCTCCAGAGGACTTAGATCGTATAATGAAACTACTAGAGGATAGTGAAAAGGATCTGTATGAGGGTTGCACCGACTACTCCAGATTTTCATTTATCTTGGAGCTTTTACATATTAAGAGCCTTAGTGGAATGGCAAATACTTATTTCGAAATGCTTCTTGATTTGCTGCGGAAGGTAGTTCCAGGAGGAGAACGTAGCATTCCTAAAACAACTTATGCGGCAAAGCAAATAGTTTCCGATTTGGGGCTTGATTACAATAAGATTGATGCGTGTCCCAATGATTGTATTCTCTACTACAAGGATAATAAAGACCTTCAGGCATGCCCTACATGTGGAGTTTCTCGATGGAAACAACAAACCCGCTCTTCAACAAGGCAGCCAACAGAGTCAATGTACCAGCGGAGCAGGATTCCAGCTAAGGTGCTTCACCATTTCCCGTTAGTTTCCAGATTGCAACGTCTGTATATGAACAAAGACACCGCTAAGAACATGAGGTGGCACAAAGAAGTCCGTATAGATGATGGTAAGCTGAGACATCCAGCTGATGCAGAGGCTTGGAAGCATATTGATAAGACTTTTCCCAATTTCGCTCGTGAATGCAGAAATGTCAGACTTGGGCTTTCGAGCGACGGATTCAATCCGTTCGGGGTTATGAGTTCAGGTTGGTCTACATGGCCAGTTGTCTTAATGCCATATAATTTACCCCCACTGCTTTGTATGAAACAACCGTATATGATACTCTCATTACTGATACCGGGTAAGCATGCACCGGGTAATGATATTGATGTCTACTTAGAGCCCTTAATTGATGAGCTAAAACAGTTATGGTCAGAGGGTATGTTGATATATGATGCCCATGCTAAAGAGTCATTTAGACTTCGTGCTATCCTAATGTGGACAATTAATGATTTTCCAGCTTATGCTAATCTTTCTGGTTGGTCGACAAAAGGCAAGTTTGCTTGTCCAGTATGTGGCCCAGAATTTGAAGGCCTTCACTTACCATATAGTCGAAAGTGTTGTTATTGGTTCAATAGGAGATGGTTGCCCTCGGGGCACAAATACAGAAAATTGAGCAATAAATTTGACGGCACTGTTGAGACTAGGAATAAACCACGTCAAATGACCGGTGCTGATATTGTTAAGTTGCTTGAGCATCTACCTAAAATTAGATTTGGTAAGAACCGATACTCTAAGTATGACTCACTCAAAGCTAGAGGCTCCTGCAAAAAGAAAAAGACACTGAAGAGGAAGAGAGCATTCCAACGGGCACATGTTGATAATGGAGTTGATAAATTACCAAAGGGATGGAGTAAATTCAGTATCTTCTTCCAGCTACCATATTGGCAAAAGCTTAAAATCAGGCATAACTTGGATGTCATGCATATTGAGAAAAATGTTTGTGACAACATAGTTTCAACCCTCCTTCAAGATCCTAATAAGTCAAAGGATGACCTAAGGGCTCGTCAAGACTTAGCTGCATTGAATATTCGAGAAGATTTGCAAGCACAAGATGTTGGACTTAAAAAAACATAAGCCTTCCTCTCGTGTTACGATGTCGACAGAGCAGATGCAGAGCTTTTGTGAAGTCCTGAAATCAGTAAAATCACCGGATGGGTATTCAACTAATATATCAAATAATGTCCAGGTGCAGGAGAGGAAGCTCTTAGGCCTAAAGACCCATGATTATCACGTTCTTCTACATCAATTGCTCCCGGTTGCATTGCGTAATAATATGGAGAAAGAAGCATCGAAAATTATTATGGAGTATTGTGGGTTCTTCAGAAAATTGTGCTCGAAAGTTATAGATGTGAAGGAATTTAAAAAGCTTGAAACAGAAATATCAATAATTTTATGCAACCTGGAGTTAATATTTCCTCCTTCCTTTTTCACGGTCATGGTCCATGTTACTCAACATCTAGCTAGCGAGGCAATCATTGCGGGTCCTGTATCTTACCGTTGGATGTACCCAATTGAGAGGTTAGGGACTTCACCCAGTGCATTAATTTCATATGCAATGTATACAGCTAATATTTGTCCTTTTCGTGATTTTCTTTAGATTAGATATTTGTAGTTCATAAAATTTTAATTATTGTAGATATTTGGGGTTTATGAAGCGTCTAGTTCGCAATCGAGCGCGACCAGAGGGTTCTATGGCTGAAGGTTACGTGACAAGCGAATGTCATACGTTTGCATCACGTTATATGCGCAATCACGTACAAGCTGATCAGCCCCCAACTAAGGAGAAGAAACTCGTAAAATATCCAAGATCTGACTTGGAGCAGGTTCATGCATATGTATTGAATAATCTTGACATTTTCAGTAATTATCGAAGGTAATGTACATTAATTTAGGCATAGGATGACACTTGTATTATTTACATTCATTGTACCAATACAATCTCATTGTTGTATAAATAGGCGACATTTGGAGAAGCTTAACAATGAAATAACAGGCAGGAGTGCAGCACATGATATCCAAAAAAAACACATCAAAGATTTTCCCGATTGGTTCAGAACCGATGTAAGTAGTGTAGAAGTAGTATTTTATTTTTTATTTTTAAATTTTTAACCAAACTCGGAGATCATTTTATTCAATTGACCCCTGACATAGGTTGATAAAGACGTTCTTGCTGGTGCCGTAATCTCTGAGGATATTTTAGTTCACACACAATGTCCTTACTATGAAGTGAGACGATATAGTGAACACATCATTAATGGGAGATATTTTAGTTCACACACAATGTCCTTACTATGAAGTGAGACGATATAGTGAACACATCATTAATGGGTATAAGTTTAAAACAGTGGCGACCGATGATAAGAGGGTAACGCAAAATAGTGGGGTCATGGTCTGTTTTGCTCAGGAATGTTTTTCTAGCATAAGAGATCAAAACCCAGTTGAAGCTGACATCTTATATTATGGCCAGTTGGAAGATATTGTAGAGATAATTTACGGCTATGGTAAAAAAAGTCAGCGTAATTATTGCATGTTTAAGGTTCGTTAGAGTCCTGCCAAACCGTGCAAGGATCATTATGGGTTTACACTAGTAAACCTCGACAAATAGATATATCTAAATGAGAAGTTCATATTCGCAGAACAGGCAGACCAGTGCTTTTATGTGAAAGACCCAAAGGTTACCGCCGATTGGGTCGTGCTTTACAAGGAGCCAAGATCTATTGTCCTCCCTAATAATAATGCCGATAGTGATGAGGACAATGAACCAATTGGTTCTTCTGATGATATTTGGCAGAATTTCTCTTACCCTCAGAATGTCATGCTTGATATGACAGATGCGGAGGTTCAGGCTGACAACCCAATTTTAGTCAGGGATAGAGAACCAAAGGCAGATGTGCAACTAGAATCAACTACTAGTAGACGAAAGTAGGCAACGTTAAATATAGCCCGAACAATACAAACAATACCTCGTTCAATACGAAAATAGCAAGTTGTAGAAGGTATATCATGTATGTCATTTTGTGCGCGAATGTTTTTTAAATGTTTAATTGCCACAAATGTTTATCTTGTGAATTAGTAGGCAAATATTTCATATTGAACTCTCCTAATTCCATGTTACAGATGAAGAAGTCGAGGTTATTCGATCGATCGCGTGATCGGTCACGATCTACGAGCCTAGGCTCAGAACAGCTTCAGGAGGCCCCAGGCTCAGAACAGCTTCTGGAGGCACACATTTCATCACATACGGATATAGGTATGAATTTCAATTATCTTTGTACAACTCAAAGTAGACATATGAAACATCATTTAGGCTAAGTTCTTTTTATATGGGTAGATGATGCGGAATTATCGGGTCGTCTACGGGACACAACTCTAGCATTCTCGCCTCATATAGGTATTAATCATATATGTGTTTGTAGTATTTATCTAATCATATTTAAAGTCCAGCTTTTGTATTTAAAATCTATTGTATGTTAGCAATATTAATTTTTATTTGCATAGATAATTTGGCAGGCATTGATTATTCTTCACCCAGGCCGATTGATTCACATGCAGAGCCCTCCCACACTACAGATAATGGTATCGCAATATATTTATTTTTGCTTTGCATCTCAATATATGCAATGATCCTTCAACTTTCTCGTATTGATTATCTTCTTTAATCATTGTAGAGGGTTCTTGGACACCATCGTCTTCGCAACATACGCAGGGGGCCGAGTTGCGGGCATGGACCCCTGATATCCCCCATCTACCATTGCCTCCAGAGTCGATCATATCAAAGACTAATGCTTTGAAGTATCATCCACTTGCACTTAAAAGGCTAGATGAACTAAAGCATATGATCATTGTTAGAAAGAAAGTTGCAACCGAAGCGAGGGATAGAGAAGTGGCGAGAGGTAAATTTAATAATTTTGTTTCTAGGTTTTCGCCTTTTCATCACTTAACTTCTGTTGTCAATGTAGGGGCAAAGCGAGATGCAACTGGACCGGGAGGACGTGGTGGAAGCAAGCCTGATTCCAAACAGGCACCGAGAGGCTTTCGGGGAATTCTTCAGTGGGTTGATAACTTGCCGATCGGCCCGTGGTCAAAAAAATTTAATAACTACATCGGCGTTTTAGTACGGCGGGTCCAAGTCATAAACCCGTACTTCAAATTCAAGGAGCTTCCCTGGTCCGCATACGAGGATATATGGAGAGAGTTGATGGTATATGATCATTACTTCTTTAATTTTCATATTGATATAGAATACGTTTACAAAATGCTTAGATATCTTATATTTTTACATGCAAAACTGTAGAAATTCTATTGTCTTGAGGACTACCCTGGGGCGTGGCACTATGTTTTCAATATCAAAGTTGAGGTCGTGCTCAAACAGTGGCGACATGAGCTGAAGATATCAACATATGATAAATATACCCAAGATTGGCAGAGATTTTTAAATCTCGATGAGAGGGTGGATCTCGATCATTTCACGGCTCTTCTTTTTTATTGGGATACCGAGTCCGCACAGGTATGAGTACATTATCAGGTTGCGTACAATAAGCGTATATTGTAAATGCAATTCATTTTTAACACCCTTTTTTTTGTAGGATAAATCTAAGAAGGGCTCGACGAACCAACATAGCAAGCGCAAGCTTGACCACCACTTGGGATCGATGTCCTTTGCCAATCTTGAGTATAGATATTGTCGAGACACGATATAATATTTAAAGTTGATGTATTCACATGATAACACCTTCAATTTGACCAAACTCTTCGACATTTCCTATTATATTTTGTAGGGGAAGCCGATAATGCCTTCCTATTATATTTTGTAGGGGAAGCCGATAATGCCGATCAATTTGAAGGCAAAGTTAGCTTACGGCATCTTTCACTCAACATATAAAGATGAAGAGAAGATTAAAGAAAACATGGTGTTGGTGGTAATTATTTTTCAACAAATATAAAATAATAACTATTACGTTGTTGTACATTTAATTAATTAAGAGTTTAAACTTTTGTACCTTGAAATCATTATTTGTTTAGGATAATATTGCTGCCGCGTCGAAGGATGCAGCACTACGTTCTACCCAAGAAGCTGCTGATGACCCTCATGTTTTGTCAAGAGAGGAAAATAATGCTATTGCAATGAATGTGATGGGGTATAATAACCGGGGTAGATTACCATTGATGGGGGTTGGAGCTCAGCGGGGTACCTCCAGAAAATCATCCACAGCGTCCTCGACAACCTCGACTGCGACTACAGCATCAAACAGAACTCACACCACTTCTACAATTATGCGCGTCAATCGTTATCTGCGCGGTAAGATCGACCCTACATTACTCATGCAGATGACGACGGCTATGTGTTCAGATTTGCCTCCATCCCCTACTAGCGACGATGTTTTTAGACACATCGTTTTATGCTTGTCCGGGAAGATTTCAGCTGAATTATTTGGAGAAGTTTTGGACCAAATAGATTTAGACGCTGGTGCACAGGTAAATTAATAATATGTCTTATATTGTTAAATTTCATTCTCTAAATGTAAATCTATTTATTTTCAGGCTGGACTTGCTGGAGGAAGCAGTAGTGGCATGCAGAGGAGGGAACTTGACGATGATGATGACTCTTGATTTTATGAGGTAAGTTAGTTAATTGTATGTGTGTATGTGTATGTAGAGACAAGTTTAATAATCATCCACGAGAACTTTAATATGCTTGGTTCTTTATATTGGTACTAGTAGTGAACCCAACTTGGTGAGTTTTTAGGCAAGATCGGTATTCTTGTAATTATATGTATGTTGGTCATATATATACGTGATGTAAGTTTTTCATGTAATTAGCTAGCTAGCTAGCTAGCTGCTAATGGTGAAGTGCAAGATCTTTTTCTAATCAATATTGCTGCTAAATATTGTTGGCTACAAGCTATATATTTGCTTAGTTGTATAAAATCTTATTCATGTTATATATGGTCATCAATAAGCAAGAACCTAGCTGTGTGTGTATATATATATTATATATTATATATAATATATATATATATATATATATATATATATATATATATATATATATATATATATAACATATATATATATATATATATATATATATAATATATATATATAAATAAAGAGCCGACTCAGGCGACGTCCTTAGGCGATTTTGGGCGACTCAGCGATTTTGGTGTCTCTCCGATATGGCTTCGGCCATACCAGAGCCGGAGAAGTCTTCAGGTTCAGGGATTCTTAGACCTCCCCTCAATCCAATAGGAACTACCGCAGCAAGGGAGGAGAGAAATCAAGAATGGATCAATGTCATTTCTCGTAAAAATAAATATCGGAGTTTCCCAAAATCTAATTCTAGATTTAATGGAAATCTCCGTAATGATATAATTGAAATGAATAAGGATCCTGGTCGGATTCAAGCAGTGTCAAAAGATTTAGGTAACCAATCTTCTCGTCAGGATGCGGGTATCTGGAAATTCAAATCTGTTGGCTCCACATCATGGAAAGATATTTGTTCAATGGGTCGTGAGGTAAATCAAAATTGTTCTCTGCAATACTTCCCTCCTTCTATTGACAGTAATGGAATTCAATATGCTTCTATCCCTAGATCTGAGATTCTTCTCAATGTTGACAAATGGAATAACACTTTGATCGGTTATGTTCTTGGGGATAAACCATTCTATTCTCATTTAAAAGGTTGTGTTGCTCGTCTATGGAAACTATCATGTTCTCTTGATATATATTCTCGTGAAAATGGTTTCTTTTTCTTCAAATTTGGCAGCAATGAAGAACTAAACAGAGTTCTTAATGGGGGACCTTGGTTATTTGATGGCAGGTTAATAATCTTAAAAAAATGGTCTGAGAACATTGATTTAGAGAGAGAGCTTCTTACCTCGGTTCCTGTTTGGGTTAGACTCCCTTCGTTACATCTCAAACTTTGGTCAAATAATATTATTGGACGAATTGCAAGTCTTGTTGGTAAACCTCTTTATATTGACAAAGCAACAGCTACGGGTGAAAGATTAGCCTTCGCTAGATGTTTTGTCGAAATCTCATCTAAAGCAAAGCTTCCAAAAACTGTAAAGTTAGATTTGGGAAATGGAGAATGGTTAGAAACTGCAGTGGAGTATGAATGGATTCCCCCAAAATGCAGCAAATGCCAAAATTTTGGACATGTAGAGTATCAATGTCCGGTTACTCTAGTTGATAAATGGATTCCTAAAACAACTAATAATGGAGCTGATAACATAGACTCGGGATCAACTGATGTACTAGCCTATTTATATGACAAAGAGCATGCAGGGTCTGATATTAATGATACTCAGTCAATTAAAACTGTTTTTACTGGAGGTGTAATTAATAACATTCAGATTCATGAGTCTGTTTCTACAATTGCTGATGTTGATATGTCTGATATGTCAGAGAAGTTAATACATGATGATGCTACTACTACTGCAGTTAATCAGGAAGATGCTACTAATAATGTTATTATAACAGAATCTGAAATTTTCTTGAATCATGATTTGGGGAATAAAGATATTGCATTACAAGTTACAAATAATAGTCACATTACAAAGGAGCTAGTTATGCAAGGGAATTACAAAGATAATTCAGATTCAAGGAATGAGAAGTCTCTGACTAAGAAGATGAATGTTGCTAATCCAGGAATCTCTGAATTTGTTGTTGGGGTTCCTCCAGATTCTTCTGTTCCAATCACTGTAAGTATTCATTCTGATCAAGCCAAGCAAAATACAGCATTTATTGATACTATGCAAACTGATGGTGAACAAGTTAATAAATCAGATATAGATTTTCCTATTGCCATTGATAATCCAGAATGGCTAAATGAGAAAAGTCAGCTGCTGATGAAAAAGAAATCCCAATTTAAAATCAATAAAGACACTTCTTTAGGCCCAAAAAGAGTTACCAGGGCCACTTCAAATAATATCTCATGACTATGTTGTGTTGGAATGTCAGAGGCATGAACAAGGCTAGTAGGAGAAGAGATATTCAAAGACATATTCACTCTTTCAAACCAAGTGTGGTTGGCTTGTTAGAGACCAAAGTTAAGTCATCAAAATCTCACAGGATCACCAAATGTATCCCTCCTCTTTGGTCATATTGCAACAATTATATTGCTTCTAATAGAGGAAGAATTTGGGTGGCATGGGATGCTATATGGAGAGGAGATGTACTATCTGTCACTTTGCAACAAATCACAATTAACCTTCATAATAAGGGAGGTTTCAACTTAATCTTGAGTGTCATCTATGGTGAGAATACTGAAACAACCAGAACTGATTTATGGTCTGATATTAGAAATATTCATGAACAATACCACACTATGCCATGGTTATTAGTGGGAGACTTTAATGTCTGTAGATTCTCATCCGAAAAAATTGGTGGTTCTCACCTGACAATTAAGAAACTTCAGGAGTTTAATGATTGTATAAATCTCTGTGGCCTTTCTGATATCAAAAGCAATGGTTCAACTTGGACTTGGCACAATAAACAACAAGGAATACACAGAATCTATGGTAAACTGGACAGAGCTCTTGGAAATTCTAAGTTGATTGATCTGTTTCCTCAAGTTTTTACGGAGTATAGAACTACATCATCAATTGATCATACTCCGGTTCTTATCCATCTCCGACCCAACATAAACTCTGGTCCTAAGCCTTTCAGATTTTTCAACTACTGGATGCAATGTCAAGGTTTTGCTGATGTTATAAAGAATGTTTGGGGAAAACAGTTTACAGTTTCTCCTATGTTTATATTGGTCTAAATTAAAAGAACTAAAGTCAGCTCTGAAAATCTGGTCTAAGTTTTCTAATGTATCCACAACAGCAAATATTATGAAGTTATCAAAGCAGCTGGAATTCATTCAAAAAGAGTTAAATAAGGATATGAATAATGAGAGTTTACAAGATACAGAAACTACTCTGTGTTATGAGCTTGATGGCTGGCTAGGTAAGGAAGAGGAGGAATTGAGGCAAAAAAGTAGACAGCTATGGCTTCAGCAAGGGGATAGAAACAATCGTTTCTTTTATAATGCTATCAAACAAAGAAATTCTACAAATAACATCAGATATTTGATTGGCAAAGATGGTTCTCAACTCTCTTCTGTTGAACATATTAAACTCACTGCTCCTGTTTTCTATGAAGATCTTTTCAACCAAACATCCTATTGGAATGTGTTTCCTAAGTTAACAGTGAAGAGAATTCTCACAGATGCAGCAAAGCAATGGTTAGTTCAGGAAGTAAATTACAAGGAAATTAAAACAGCTCTTTTCCAAATGCCTCCAGATAAAGCACCAGGTCCTGACGGTTTCAATCCTTATTTCTATCAACAAAACTGGGATATTATCAAAGGGGATGTTATAGTAGCAGTAAAATCCTTCTTCTCTTCAGGTAAGATGCTCAAACAAATTAATCATACTTTCATCACACTTGTACCAAAATCAAAAGAAGCCACATCCATTCATGAGTATAGACCTATCTCTTGCTGTAATGTTATCTACAAAATTATTACTAAGATCCTGAGCAATAGGCTTAAATTGGTGATGGGTGAATTGATTTCTAAGAATCAACATGCTTTTCTCAAAGGGAGACATATTGGTGATTGTTCTTTACTAGCTCATGAACTGCTTAGGGATTTCAATAAGAAACATGGAAAAAGAGCTTGTCTGAAGATTGATCTGCACAAAGCATTTGATAGTATCAACAGAGAATTTGTTTATTATATCATGCATCGGATGGGTTTTCCAGTTAAATGGATTGAATGGATCAAAGAATGCATCTCTACTCCTTCTTTCTCTGTCCTTCTGAATGGCTCCTCCACTGGTTTTTTCCAAAGTAATAGAGGTATAAGACAGGGAGATCCTCTATCTCCATATATCTTTGTTTTAGTTATGGAATTCTGGTCAATTGGCATGGAACTTGCTACTATTTCAAGAAATATTCAAAGTTTCCATAAGCATCAGGATCTTCAAATCTCTCATATCTTATTTGCGGATGACATGTTGGTTTTTTGTAGAGCAAATAAAAAGTCTTTTGAAGGTATTAACAATTTGCTATCATCTATGGAATTGATTACTGGATTGAAAATAAATAGGAGCAAAAGTAAAATTTTCTTCAGTAAAGGATGCATTAACAAAGGTGAATTAAGCTCTATTGTGGGAATTTCAAGAGGAAAATTGCCTATGAAATACTTGGGATTACCTTTATCTGTTAACTATCCAAAATCGAAAGATTTTCTCCCCTTAGTTGACAAAATCAGAAGTAGAATTGAAGGATGGATGACAACAACCTTATCATTTGCTGGGAAAGTTGAGCTAATAAAATCAATCCTATATAGTACCTCTGCCTACTGGTTTTTTGTATTTAACTTCCCTCAATCAGTTGTTAAAAATCTGGAATCTATATTTGCAAATTTCTTGTGGAATGGAAAGCTTCATGCTATTAACTGGAAAGATATCTGTCGACCAAAAAAAGAAGGTGGATTTGGACTGAGAAAAATTGATGATTTATGTCAAGTTGCGGCATTAAAGTTGATATGGAGATTACTTACTTCTACTGATTC